CTACTTACCCCACGCACTTTTGGAGAAGGTGTATTTCACTAAAGGCCCTGACACACCTAGCAAGGTGTGCCAGGGCACACCTAAGTATTTGCGATAGAACATAGGAGTAACACTTTTTTGTTTTCTGTCTAAGGGAAATTTTGTTTTCTTTGTTTCGTTTTACTATGGAGTCCATCAGATAGCTCGACTTATGAAGCCAGTTATTTGTAAATGGTGTATTAATAAAGCTATAAATGACTCCATAAGGGAACCATCTGATGACTCAATAGATTTTTTGTTTCTTTGTTATGCAATCATAACGACTATTTCAAATTGGTAAATGAAATGATCCGATCATTCTATAGAGCATGGAGTCATTCATAACTTTATGGGATGATATGTATCTAATATGTATTTACTGCAGAACACACGTGTCAATATTTTAAGCAAACAATTTTAATTTTTTTTTAAACTTCCCTTAATAAGACATTTTTCACTTTCTAGTTTTTACTGCCACCTTTAAGATAAAGAGAGCACGCCAAAGGATTTCTCATTTTTTTTTTTTTACCTGGCAAATTTGGAAGCTAATCGAGGCTAAAGAGTAAAAACAACACGTTCTCCTGAGGCAAAACACAGCATCAAAATTACATAAAAGTTCACAGTAGTAAAAACAAGATCAAAAGCACAAGTCTGCCATAAATAAAGCAAGTTAATTATTTTTATTCCATTAAAGGTTATGTTTGCTTGCTGCTTACAACAGGGGACTGAATTCCTTATTAGATTTCCGAAAATGAATTTATCGTCTGAAAACCGTGCAACTCGGGAAGCGGGCCATTTCCGGGCCTGATCGATATTATCACATCCAAACCTGTTATTACGAAACACAGTACATAATCAAATTTGGAAAAAGGGTTCCGTTAGAGAAAATGCTCAATAACTATATTAGCAGATGTGAAGATTATCACAAATATACTGATCCGATTCAGTGTTCGACAATAATTTTTCAACAAAGAGCGAAAAAATGAGAAGAAACTGAAAACCCGAATACAGTATTTTTACCTGCCGCCTTAGCAGCTGTAGCTTCTTGATAAACATCTGTAACAAATAGAATTTCTGAAGGATGATCTACCCCAAGAGACTCCGAGATCTCAGTGTAGCTTTTAACTTCTCTTTTGTTCCTGTGCAAATCAGAAGGATAATATTACACAGTAGTTACATTATAGTTCAAATGCTCCAAAACCGAACATAAATCACTACAAAGATTGAAAAAAGCCTTACCCCACCGTAGTATCAAAATATCCACACAAGTATTTTCTGAGGTCCCCATAATTAGTGTTGCCAAACAAGAGCCTTTGTGCTAATCTGCTGCCACTGGAATATATGTACACCTATAGGAAGAAAATGCAGGACTTCAAAAAAAGGCAATTAAAAGATAAGGAAAAAAAAAAAAAAAACGAGAAGCTGCGAATAACCTTAATTCCAAGGTCATGCCATTTTTCAAGGGCTTCGGGCACATCATCAAATACAATTGCCTCAATCTCTTTGCTCTGAAATCCAGTTCTCCATATATGACCCTGAGAGGCATAGATAGTTAAACATCACGAATTTTTCCAATGTTAATAACAAGATTCTTTCTGCTAAGGGTTTGTGAAAAAAAAAATAATAATAATAATAAAATGAATTAACACAGATAAATCATATTCCGTGCCTGTAATTGTTTCAAAGAAGTGATTTTCCTGTCAGCTTTTATCATAGCCTCAACATTGGCTACCACTGCAGCAATTATGTCCACTTTATTTCCATCTTCAGGAATAGGAACTGCACCAACAAGATTGTTTGCTAGATCTTCTTGTACCTGTGTGCAAAAATATCACGAGCAAGGGAATAATTTTTCATATATTTTCAGCTAATCGATCATTAGTATAACCACTCATCGCCACCATTTTCAATGCGAGGTTATTATTTATATATTTAAAAAATAAAAAACTCTTGAGTAAAACTCTAAGCTACTCAAACTATGTCGATTTTCCACAATTTGCTCAGTTAATTTTACTTATGTTGCATGTTACCCCAGTGGTCAAATAAAAACAACAGATTCAACGTTCATAGCAAGAGTGTAAAATAAAATAAAACACACAGTGAATTACTATAAAAATCCAGAAGGGTTTTTAATGGCCAACTTACTTGAGCTCGTAATAACTTAATATCCTCTTGAGTTTCAGCCGAATCATATGTCAGCTCCAAATGCTTCCCAACACTATCACGAGCATAAGGAAATAGAACATCTGTAACAAACGATATAGGAGTGGTTGTTCCTTCAATGTCCAGTACAATGCAACTCTGCAAATTGTGTGGTTTTTTTGTACTTAGAAATGAATAACAAAGATGTCAAAAGTTTGTAGAATAGTGAGGAATAAATAAAAAACTTACTCTCTTTGGTTCAATGGCATTGTCTAGAGCCCCTGCCTTTGTGGAAACTTTCTGATTTCGACGGTTGCTTAAAACACTGTTTTGAGTCTGGATGGGGCCGTGGGAAGGTGTTGACCAGTCAAATCCTAACTGATGAAGTTTAATGGCAGCATCAAAGAGGTAGTGGTAGCATTCAGCCTGGGTTTATAGTATGCCGATCAAAGAGTGTCAAATATTAGTGGGAATATTAGTGCTCGCTGATGTCACACATGAAAATAAGAATATCAAAGTCTTAAATATTCTTCAATATCAAATTTACTTAATAAATATATCAGAAACAGATTTTAGATTCAATGAAAATCCCAAACAATGTCGTCTTTTCTAGAGTCACAATCAAACTATATAAACTCATAAAAACTGACTTACAGCAGCTCTACGCAGATATCAGCTGTCATAAGTATTTTCGTGAGATTTAAAGTTCCCTACTTACAGAAAACAAATCCACATATAATGCCAAAATTTAACTTACAATAAGACGAAAACAATGCGAGAAACGGTTGGCAACATTTATGACCACTTCTTCATCAAGTTAACTGCATTTTGTAGCAAGATCTACCTTACCAAACTATTTTATTATTTCATTTCATGTTTAACAGTGGGATGAAGACAACTAAGTAACTTAAAAATTAATAGGAGCAATTTTGAATGGTTAAGATGGGACATACAACCTATTGAACATAAGATATCTCCATCACTGGTACTCACTTGTGTTTTAGCATTGATCCACGAGTCACCCCATATATATACTCCATGATTTCGGACAAGGACAGCAGTGGTTTTCGGATATGCTTGAATCTGCAAAATAAGGAAAAAGGTGCACTTGTTACAAAACAACAATTCTTTCGAAATAACTCTCACAACGCCATATGTCTAGACATAGAGAATATCATTGCAAATATTGCCAACAATCACTCCATTTTGTTAAAACCTATTGCAGTATCTTTACAGACATGTTGTTTCAATAATCACTTGAAATTCTCGATCTTCACCAAATCTCACTATGGTGATCATACCATGCACTTGAACCAGGTTCATAATCTCCAATACATACATAAAACAGCTTACATTTTGTATCATTGTGTACTAGATACACTTTTGACGGGCTATGTTTTACCTAGATGTGGTACCTCTAGTTTCATTTTCATCATCGTGTAACAAAAACCCTTATAATTTCTCAAGTTGCTATATAGCAAACTTGTTCATAGAAAAAAAAGACAAAAAAGAAAAGAAAAGGAGAAAACGCACAGCTTCCGCAAGAGATTGTGTGAGCTCTCTTTCATGAGCAGTGTTCTCAATTATTGGGACCACAAGTTCATCATAATAACCATGCCCTTGAATTCCTTTAATCATTTCCATATGGGTAATCTGAGAAATGAAAGAAAACAACTTTTATAAGTCCAGAGAGTTTCCAATTCCTCTATTGTCTTTACGAAGTAAATGAAAATGACATTCATACCCGGAATTCTTTGGACAAAGGATTAATCATTGTCACGAGGCAAGACTCCATTCCATGACTGTGGATTACAGCACCAGCATTACGCATTTCATATGCCTGAGAAAAGGGATAATAACAACTCCCATCACAAAAATTAAACAATTGAGGGACAAAAATCATTATTATCTTCATTGAATGAAGACCATCGTACGATATAATCCATCATATGACTAGAAAACAAACAAGACACAAGCAAGTGAATGTAAATTTGATTCAAACTAAATCACAGGATGTACAATCATCGGACCATATCCTACCACGGATAACCAAATCTCACCAAAAACGAAGACTTGCACAAAAGCATTACTCAACACCAACATAGCCTGATCAGAGTACCTAAATTATAATTTCACAAAATCAACTGAAACTATTCAATGAACTTCATACCTTCATAAATAACGGGCCACAATCAGAACACTTCGGAGGCTTATTTGGCCACGGCTTTGCCGATGGCTCGGACAACACAGATCCATCCGGAGCTAGCACATACATATCCTCCTCCATCATCCTTTCCTTCTGCACACCTACAAAACAACCCCAAAAACCAAACAA